GTAGTAGCAGTAATAGTAGTAGTAGCAGCAGTAGTAGCAGTAATAGTAGTAGTAGTAGTAGTAGCAGTAGCAGTAGCAACAGTAGCAGCAGCAACAGCACCAACAACAACAACAGCGGCAGCAGTAGCAGCAGCAGCAGCCGCAACAGCACCAACAACAACAACAGCAGCAGCAGCAGCAGCAGAAGGCCTAGGTTGTACTACGATGACTACACAGCCTAGGTCGCGTACTACGATGACTACAGTTTACCTTACACGATGACCAACCACGCAGCCTCATCTACGTCATACACCGCGCACGCGCTCACCTGTTTCTGTTCTCTGTCTCCGGCAGTCGTCGTGGTGACGAGGGAGGAGGAGGAGCGGAGGAAGCAGCAGCCGACAACGATGGCGCGTGCTGCATGTCTTCACGGACTGCGCATCCTGGCTGTATGCACGGCTAACCACGCTGAGGTTGCTCAACACGAGGCCGTATACACGCTGTGCGGACTACTGCGCACCCTGGTGGAGGCGAACAGCAAACAAAACACAAGCCAGCTGTCCCCCGGTAAGCCCAGCGCGTCGCTCTCTCACTAGAAGGTCGTCTCAAGGTCGTTCCGAGGTAGATTGACTAGGAACTGGCATCGCGGCCGGTTAAACCTTGCAGGTTTTATTTACGGAATAGATGAACAGATTAAGATGAATAGTAATAGCAATATTAACGAGTATTAAAACAAGTATTAGTGGAAAGTATAGCAGTTTACACATGAACGATTGATCAATCAATCAATCAATAATCGAATAGAATTGCGGTGAGATCTCGCGCGACCAATCGTGGTCTACTCGCTCGTAGTTTGCAGGCTCTCACTTGCCCGCAGCGGCGGCGGCAGCGGCGGCACCTACTATAAAGATAGTAGCTATTTTGCCATGAACGATCAATCACTCAATCATTAAACGAATAGAATCACGATCGACTCTCTCCTCGTTTGCAGGCTCTCGCTCTCCGGCGGCGGCGGCGGCATCGTCGCGGGTCGTCGTGCAGCAGCAGCACAGGGAGTGGTCGACGCTGGGATTCATACGAAGCCTCGCCGCCTCCCCCAGCATCTGTCGCGCTCTCAGCACCCCGCGATGGATCGAGCTGCTGCTGGGAATCGTCGGATGCTGCCGCGGCGAGGTTGGCGTCGCCGCGGAAACGCTCTTCAGTCAGGTGCGTGCATCATGGGTGTCGTTAGGGTGGGGGTGGATGTGTTGGTGCAATGGGTGGTGGTGGGTGCAGAGTGGGTGCAGTAGGCCTGTTCCACAAACTTACGTTGTTAGGATTTCCACTCGCACGTTTTTTCTTTGTTGTTACCTTGTATGTGAGAGTTGCCGTGTTAATGCATGTTGATGCCACACACACACACAGGTACTGACACTGCGGCTGCTGCGTGTGTTGCTGCCGTCATGGGAAGCATCGGAGGAGGGAGCGAGGATGGGAGACCTGGTAGAGAAGCTGTTTCACATCACAGGAAACATCCTCATGTCGTGCGCGTCCGACCCTTCCCTCGCACCACTAGGTATTCACACTGATGCTGGACCGGACTGGAAGTGGGGAGATCAGGTAACGTTGGTGGCTCCGTGGCCACAGGCGACAGCGCGAATGTGTTTCCCCCTGATGTGCGTCGATTGTCACGCACAGTAGCTTCGTAATAACAGTCGCGTCGTGTGATATTATTCTGATCTTGATTACTGTTATTTTTCACTAACTTGCATTCGTTAATGTGCGTAGCTTCGTGACAAACGGCAGTAGTTAGTGCAGTATTTTATTCTGCTCATGATTAATGGCTCGCGGCGCCGGAAATAATATCCGTGAACATGTTCCAAGCGACCTTCCACAGCTCCATCGAACCAAGATGCGCTACCACTGGAGGACTGGAGGACTTGTATCCTGTACAGATAGAGTATACACTGAGTCGTAGTTGTAAGCAGTGATGACTAACGTGTGTCTGTGTGTGTGTGTGTGTACAGGACGGGCCACCCCCGGGGGAGGGACGCGTCATCGGGGAGCTGGGAGAGGACGGCTGGGTGAGGGTGCAGTGGGACAACAGCAGCACTAACTCCTACCGCATGGGCCGCGAGGGCAAGTACGATCTGAAGCTGGCAGGACCTCCGCCCGTACAGGAGAAAGACGTGAAGGAGACGGAGTCAGACACGGAGAGTGGTGAGTAGCAGCAGCAACTCACATGTTATATAATGACTACATAGTAGCAGCAGTAGTAGTAGCAGCAGCAGTAGCAGCAGTAGCAGTAGCAGTAGCAGNGGCTGGTCGGGGTGCAGGGTGGTGGTGGGTGGCCTGCAGAGATGGGGCTTGCAGCTGGGCCTGTCACAAACTAACGTTGTTAGGATTAAGCTTTATAAGGTCATTCAATTAAGCGCGAAATTAATTTCAATCGCTCGTTTTTTTTGCTGGTTTACCTTGCCATTGCAGAATGTTAATGCATGTTGATCCCACAACACACACCACAGCGTGCTGACACTGCGGCTGGCTGCGTGTGTTGGCTGCCGTCATGGAAGCATCTGAGGAGAGCGATGGAATTACGAGACCTGGTAGAGAAGCTGTTTTCACATCACAGGAAACATTCTCATTGTTCCTTTGCCCTTTCCTCCCCCTTTTTTCTCTCCCCCGCCCCTGCGCGTCCGGACCCTTCCGCGCACACATAGTATTCACAGGATACATCAACTCATTCTAACGCATTTATCGAAAGTAACAGACTATTCACTTGATTATGGATGTATATATCATATGAGTGTGTATATATCAACGAGGCGTTTTATGGAACTTTTGCAACAATAGCATTAGATAGATACCTTCATAGGTTTGCATTGTGACTGGAAAAGTAGTAGTTTCGTGCCAAAAAGAAATGCTGTAAATTCAGCAGCTGTGTGTGCTGACTGTGTTGTGGCGTGTGTGTGACGTGTGTGTGATCGTGTGTGTGTGTACGTGTGTGTGACCGCCGTTGTGTTGGGGACGTGTGTGTGTGACGTGTGTGCTGACGTGTGGTGGTGTGACGCGTGTGTGTGACGCGTGTGTGCTGACGCGGTGTGTGTTGCACGTGTGTGTGTGACGTGTGTGTGACGTGTGTGTGACGTGTGTGTGTGTGTGTTACAGACGCGTCGCGACGCAGTAAGAAGCGTTTCGCGCCCGCGCGCCACCTCACCGCATCCTTCAGCAGCTGCGTTGTTGCCGAGGAGTTGGTGTGTCTGCTGCGTACGCTGCATGCGCTGCCAGCCTGGAACGACAAGATCAACGACTACATCGTTAGCAGGCTGAGTCGTCTGTCAGAGCTGCTCTCTCCTCAGCCTCCTTGCGATGCACCGGTGAGTGATGCGGATGCTAACGATGATGATGATGTAGAAACGTGAAATTATATGTATAGAAGAAATCATAATTAAATATCGAAATTATTAAAGATGAATGAATGAATTAATTGAGTAATTAAAGATTTTAATTACATAATGCATTGCTGCGAGACTCAGAATGACTTTTCGTCATGTCTTTTTGTGGACAATGCTTGTGTTGCAGCTTTTCGATTTTCTGGCTATATGTAGTTTTCTCCGTGTACTTTCACTTCGTAAGGTGAACATGAAGGTAGATGTGTAATCTATTATCAGAGTTGTGAAGTACCCTGGTAGAGATCCTCCGCCCATGTGCTATGTAGAGGGCGTTTGCAACATGGCGGAATGTATATTATATATTATGCTGTACAAGTCACAGTTATTAAGTACCCTTGTAGTCACGCTCCCCCCTCCTGCTCTCTTGCACTATGTATATGTGGGAGACGTTTTGCCACGCGGGGAGAAGTATACCACGCCACGCACCCTCGCCTTCTAACCGCCTTGCAACTGCACCGCTCTTGCCGCAGGTTGATGAGGGCGCCACCTCTCCCGCGGGATCGCTCCCGCACTCCCTCATGGCCATCCTCGCCGTCGTCGGCGGCGTTGACGCTCGTCCCCGCCTGGGGGCGCTAGTGCAGCAGGAGGAGCAGGGCGTCGGCACGGTGGCTCGCATCACGTCGTCGGGAAA